GTGTAATGAAATGTAAGTCTCTTCGAATTCTATTATGTAAATGCATGTAACATATTCATGTATATGTTTGAGGTGTGAGCATGCATATACTTAACATAAGGTGCTTTAACTTCCTGTTTTCATTAACTATTTTTATTGCGTACACTTTTTATTTTATGCGCTAACGTAGAATATTATTCGTACATTTCAGATATATTTGCAACGTTCCGAAATTGCTACAGAATCTGTTAGAATTAAGAAAATACTTCGTGGATCAATTAAGCATGCTGTTTCCGAAAATTAACATTTATTATGGAAAGGTCCCGCAAACTATCAAATGCCAGTTAGCCATTACGGAATACGGATCGAGTAAGCCAATAATATTTTAGACAATTTTTCTCAGCCATGAAACAGAAAACAGATTTAATGTTTCATGTGTTTTAGATATTTACGACATGGAAGCAGCTGAGAAGACTGATCATTTATATAAAAATCAGAAGAATCTAAACTTAACTTTACAATATAACGAACTGTAAGCTTTACGATTTGTGTTCATTAGTCAAGTATTTATGTCTCTAATTTTGCTTTTTTTAGACAACCTTGGAGAGATCACAATAATACGTCGAATTGCGTAATAAACATGACCGATCTTACGAATGTTGATAGTACATTGGATAATATCCTGCAGGTGCGTATAATTTTGTTAATATTGAATAAATATATTTCTTGAAAATCATGTGCTATCAGAATTTTCTTCATATCGTAGGTAACATCCGATCAAGACGCTGTGATGGCGTATTACTACATGGATGACAACAACAAAGTCCAAGTAACGGAAATATTCGATGTCACGGACACCGATTCGCACGCGATGCTATCTGTAGATGAAGTTGAAAATAATAGCAAATTACACTACGATGAATGGGATGAACCTACGTGGCTGTCTCAACACACGATTAACGATGGTAATTACAGTTCCACTCGTTCACTTTCACTCAGAAACCTCTCGCTTTTAAATGCCAACTATCATTCGAAAGATCTAAATCAGTAACCATTAGAGACTCTTTCCATTGTAAATCATATGACAAATCATGTACTTAATGAGTTATATAATAAATTGTACAGCGACTCATGCAACAAATCCTATAGTAAATCATATAACAAATCTTACAGTAAATTATATAGCAAATCATATATCTGATGAATTGTATAATAAATCGTACAATGATTCATACAACAAATCCTACAGTAAATCATACAACAAATTTTACAATAAATTATATAACAAATCACATATCTAATGAATTATATAGTAGATCATCTAATAAATCGTAAAATAATTCAAACAACAAATGATATAGTAAAAACATAATTTCAGTTGTAACAGAATCTCTGTACACTGATGGGACTCAGCAGGGTATGGAGAATCTATCGGAAATATCTCTGGAAGACGATACCTCGGGATCGTTGAACACATTTTCCGATCCGGAGAGCGAATGGGACATAAGTAAACATGTATCGACGAAAACTAGAGAGCCACCATATTCTCGGAAAGTGAATTAAAAAGAAGTACAGACTTCGTTTTCTAATAGTTGAAAGCGAGTGTGAGCGTCGAGTTAATTAATTAGTAAGTCCAACGGGACTACCGAGTATGCGCCGACGATATTGACGCTACCGAGTCACTCCCGATGCTCAATATTAAGAAATTTTTGTAATGTTAAAAAAAAGTTCGTCGCGATTCGTAACCTGTAGTATGTGCTGATAAGCGAGAGATACAGTACAAACGGCATGATAAAAGTGATATGAAAAAAGTATCTTCGACAGGGCATACGTAGTATTTTATTATAAATACGATTCTCTGAGGAAGAGTTATTATTAATCAATCGTTGTTACTAAATACTTGCGAGTCGAGTATAGGTAGATTTTCAAAGAAGAGACTGATTAGAATTGAAAATGCACATAAAAGACATTTGTCCCTGCTCTAATTTCTTACGATAACTTTTGTATGAAAATTGAACAAGTCGTTGTCTCGTTTCAACGTTACAATTAAAGCGTTCCTATAAAGGGACGGAGAATTTTGCAGTAAGTTCGCGAAATATAATACAATCGTTATTTAAGTTAATCGTCAATTAGAGTGGAGGAAACAATAGGCTTTGACTGCATACAGCTGGAACTGAATGCCGATTCAAGTTTTTTATCGTTCTTCATTGACTTGATCAATGTTGGTGATGACTAGCGATGGTCGAAGGATCGATTATTTTTTTTAGGTATCAGTCAGTAAACTAAATAATATGACAGTTTCTAAACGTTAATTGCAAACGGAGCACAATTTATGTATTTAATTAATTTTATACTAAATTATGTTAAAAATAATGTAGTGGAAGAAAGTCATAGATAGTAAATATTGCTTATTGAAGATATATTTATATACT